CACTGCCATTGAGTCAATTCAACTCACAGTGACCCCTCCCTGAGTTTCCGAGGTGGCATCACTACGGAAGTAGATTGCCCAATCTTCCTTCCAAGGAGTAGCTGGTGGGTTTGAACTGCCAGCCTTCTGGCTAGCAGTCAAATGCCTTAGGCAATGTGGGTCTAGGGTCTCAAAACAGTCAGCTTCAGGTACGAGAATTTCTCAGTCTTCTCACAAGTGATTTGAAATAAGAAGTATTGAAATGAAGTCCAAGCCTTCTTTCCATTTATTTATAGCCAATTATCCTATGTCATATCAATCTCAGAATTCTTGGATACTGAAACAGAAACTAAAAGGATTCAGAAAATATCTAAACCTACTGATTATTAACATCACTAAAAGTGAGACAACAGACATTATGAGTCTCCTGCCCTCACATACAAGAAATACATAGAATAAGGAAGTATTTTATCAAAACAACTAAACCTTCATCTAATCAAACCCTTAGATATAATATCCGGTTTATAGCGCATAAAAGAACATGTTAAATGATACATTGAGGATGCTATCAGCCAAATTCAGAATACGGGAAATTCTACAGGACAATGACCTCATTTCTTCAGTAAGTAACACAGCATGGGGAAAAAGGAAGAGGGGAACTATTAATGTAGCAAAAGATTTAAGCTGGTACAATATACACTTTTGGTAAGGTAGTGGGACAAAAGGCAATCTCATCCATTGCTGGTAGAGATATAAAATGGGCCAACCGTATGGAGAGAAATTTGGTGATATCTAGGTAAATTAGTTATCTATCTAATCTAGCAATTTCATGTTTGGGCTCTGTCTCAAAAATGTACTCATAAAACTACAAAAACATGCATAAACAAGACAAGTTATACTTTCATATTTATAATATAGCAAATGACTGGAGAAAACTCAAATGTCCATCAAAGGGAACTAGTTAAATAAAACAACAGCACATCTATACAATACAATATACAACTGTAAAAGGGAGGAAAATAAACCTCTTTATACCACTATCAAATGATCATCACAATATATTATTAATTAAAAAAAAAGCAAGGTAGAGAAGAGAACTGTGCACACTTACATAAGCGTTTACATAACAGCAGAGATAGAAACTAGATTTCTCTGAATATAACTTTTTTTGTAAAACTGAATTTGGAACTACATAAATATTTGAAATAATTATAGAAAAATCACTATACTTATCTAATCTTTATGCTGAGCAAATAATCTGAGAAGCTGGACTACATAAAGAATGCATCATGATTGGAGGAAGGCTTACTAACAATATGCAGATGAAACAACCTTGGCTGCTGAAAGCAAAAAAGACTTGAAGTACTACTGACATGATTTAGTATGGATCACATCTCATTATAAAGAAAACAAAAACCCTCACAAATGGACCAATAAGCAACATCACATAAATGGAGAAAAGACTGACATTGTCAGGGATTTCATTTTACTTGGATCCACTATGCCCACAGATGCAGTGGACAAGAAACAAAAGGACGTATTGCACTGGGAAAATCTGCTGCAAAATATCTTTAAAAATTTAAAAGTAAAGATGTCACCTTAGTCAGACTATGAATAAGAAAGACAGAAGAACTAATGCATTTGAATATGGTGAAGAAAACTGAACATACCATGGACTGTCAGAGGAATGAACAAATCTATCTTGGAAGAAGTACAGCTAGAATGCTCCTTAAAAGTAAGGATGGTAAGAATTTCTCTCACCTACCTTGGACATGTTATCAGGAGAGACCAGTCCCTAGAGCAGTATATCATGCTTGGTAAAGCAGAGGGTCAGTGAAAATGAGGAATATCCTCAATGAGATGGATTGACACAGTGGGTGTGATAATGGGCTCAAACACAGCAATGATTATGAGGATGGTTGCAGGACAAGGTAGTTTTTCATTCTGTTGTACAGAGCCTCACTAGGAGTCAGAATCAATTCAATGGCACTGCCATCGATTTGGATCTGACCCATAGCGACCCCTCCCCTTGGGTTTCTGAGGCAGTATCACTACGGAAGCAGATTGCCCAATCTCCCTTCCGAGAAATGGCTGATGGGTTTGAATCGCCAGCCTTTTGGTTAGCAGTCAAATGCTTTAAGCACTATGCTACCAGAACTCCCTTGAAATATTATAGAAAAATTAAATTGAAAAAAGCAGTAGCAACCGCTAAAAATCAAAACCAAAATGAACAAATAAAACTAACAATGTATCAAAATTATACAGCCCTGGTTAAGTGGTTAAGTGCTTGGCTGTTAACTAAAGGGTCGGCAGTTCAAATCCACAAGCCTCACCACAGAAGACAGATGTATGACATACAAAATGGTGACATAACCAGAGAGGAATACTCCAGAACATAGTCATTTGCAATACATCCATGGTAGGCTGTACCCGAAGAACAAAAAGAGAACTGCAACT